TCCCGGGTTCCCCTCCGTCTCCTTCGGCCGAACCCCCGCCCCGAGCCCAGCGGCCGCTCCGTGCATGTGGGGTGCGCCACCAGCTCCGTGTGGTGATGGGAAAGCGCTGGCCCGGCTTGATTTAAGGCTTGGAGGCTGGATGAGACCCCGGTAGGAGCCAAGGGGTAGGGATCCCGGAGAGGCAGGACGACTGACAGCTTGGACCTGCCTGGGTCGGGTTCTGGCTACTATGGCCAGAAGAGTCTACCTAAGGAACTAACAGTAAAGGTAGAACAAGATCCCTATTGTACAGGACAGGGCCTGACAAGCTAGCCCAATAATCACCCTGTGTCGTCCCCTCCCCCCCTAGTTCCCATAGAAAGAACAAACCAGTCACACTCCGGCCAAGCATAACCCCATCACTCATTGTAAGACATTGTGTTTAAATCGTTCCTTTTGTGTTGCTAAAGGTCCCCCCTTGTTTCCTGTACCAAAAGCTGACAGCCTGGCAAATTATTGGAAACCCCTTTACCGCAGTGCCTTTGTGGTTCCTGAGCATGAAGTGAGAGAAGAACTGAAGGTCGGGGCTGCAATTCGGCTCTTACGTGGGTGAGACGCCGCAACTGTAGCCGCTGGCCAGCTAATAAAGGCTCCAAAATTCAAACACAAACTCTGGTGGTCGTCCCGAGACCATATCTGTGTCTGTCTTCTTGTAGTGCAACCTGTCCTCTAGCAGGTTTTTGGAACTATAACCACATTTTGCTTTTGGAAGACACTCTGAGAGCAAGTAGTTATTTAAAACACACGTGTTTGGCCGTACAATTCCGTTTTTGTTTTTAAAACTGTTCAATCATACATAGTCATAGACAAAAGTCTGGAAGGTGACATACCAAATATTAATAGTAATTCCTTTTTAGTAAGGGAATTATGGGTGATCTTAAAACACTTTTTCTGCTTATTTTTAAATTTTTTTGCCGTGAACATGTATTAACTTAAAAGAAAAATACTCAAATTATTTTTTCCCATTGATTTCTAGAGAGAGTGGAAGGGCTTGGGGAGGGAGGGAGAGAGAGAAACATTGAGAAGAGAGACATATCCATTGGTTGTCTCCTGCACGCTCCCCGATCAAACCCAAGGCACATGCCCTCGACTGGGAGTCAAACCCTCAGCCCTTTGGTTTGAGGGCCAAACCCTGAATCACACCACTGAGTATTCTTATTTTTAAGAATAAAATTCAATAGTGACCAACAAGATTATGTGTATTATTTTTCTCAAGAAGCTCCTACTTTCGAAGTTAAAATAAATATTTCATGTGCTTGAAATCTGAGTGTAGAATTACAAAGCAATTTTAAGCAAGCCTATTAGAACTTGTTATAAATGGAAATGAATGTGTCCCCTTCAGAGAGGCCACTTTGGGAGGACTTACACCAAGGATGCTATTTCCCAAAATGTTCTTTTTCTTTGGGGAACTTATTTTTTATTTCTTTGACTAAGTGATGAATGTTCATAGTATAAAATTTAAAAGGATCGCAGAGCAAGGTTTTCTGACTATTTCCTTTTCTGATTATTTCTTTTATAGCTGTTTGTTTGATGGCTGTGATGTTTTATCTCTTTTAATGATAGTTTTGTTTCTGTAAAGTCTTTTTCTCCATGTCTCACCTCCATTTCCCTGGCTCCTCTCCTGCCCCCCGGCCCCCCGTCGACCACAACCTGTTTTGGTCTCTATCTGCCCTGTTTGAGCCTGGCTTCGAGTCTAAAAGTCCAGCTGGTGCCTAACACTCCACAGTGGAAGAACAACCCTACTTGGAAGCTCTGAGCCTGTGGAAGGGAGGGGCTTGTTAGCTTATGTCACCTTCCTGCCTCTTGCAGGGGATGCGGGAGGGGTGTTTGTTGGTGAACAGAATTCCCCCAAATTCTTCTAATTTTAGCCTCACTGCACCCTGAGTTGTTGCTGAGGCTGAGAAGCTGTGGTTCCTGTGGGAAGCCCGTGGCGAGCATGCAGGGAAAGGATTATGGAAGTCCCGGTTCAGCCTTCTTCATGGCTCTTTAGTTTCAGTGCATGGCCCTTCCTGCCACTGTGACTTGCACGCAGGTGGTGAGACATGGGGCGCAGTCTTGTATGCTGATCGACAGTGCCCCCTCCCGCAACCTGATACGCTACCAGAGTAGGGGTGCCCTCAGGTAGTCTTGAACACAGGTGTGGAAGACTGATCTGAGGAAGAAGTTGGTCCTTAGCTGGTGTCATTTTTCCTTTCAGGCTCCTGTGACATTTGAGGACATCACGACGTACTCACTTCAGGAGGAATGAGTGCTGCTGAGTCGGCGACAGGAGACCTGTGGTTCTGACCAGCTGGTGGCACCCCTGGGTATGGGCTCCTGTTCACTTCCGCCCACCTGAGTGAGTCTGGAGCGGCATACCCACCTGTGTATGATTATGACATACTCAAGAATTTTCTGGATTCCTACCCTTTTTTTCCAGGCATCGTTATACTGTTTATATCTGCTCAGACCCGTCTCTAACTTACCTGCTCACGATTGCTCACGAAGCTTTCTCTTCTCCCTTTAAACTGGTCAAGAGGAGTGGGGAAAATGGCGTATGTCAAGGCTAGACCTTGGCGTGATGCCTCCGGATATCCCAGCTTGCCATGTGGGAAGCCCCGCCTATGGCCTGTTGGGCTGCAGGGTGGATTCTGTTGCCCACAGGACACGAGGTAGAAAGAACGTCAGACCTTGGAGTGTGGCACTCTGGTCTCGGCCCCAGCTCTCCCATGTGATACTGCTGTGCCTTTGACCAAGCCCTTGAGCGTTTTTACGCCTTGATTTCCCTCTTCGTAGGGTTGTCGCAGGGGTTGAATGAGACGGAACAACTCAAAACTTTGTGTCCATGTAGGTGTTTTTCATCTTTTCTGTTTTCTGAATGTCCTGTCTGTACCATGGACAGTGGCGATTGTATTTCAGCATGTGTGCATGCCTGCATAGGGACCGTTTTCTCATTTCAATTTGATGGCTGTCTGCGGTGCTTGTCCTTTCTTCCTTTGGCCAGGTGTGTCTGTTCTTCAAATTAAAAAAAAAAAAAAAGTTTGCTTAAAGCCCACTTGACTTCCTCCTGGGTGCCGTAGGTGGGCCTGGGTTCCTGGGGGACTGAAGGAGGAGAGGTGGGTAAGGCTGGGCCATTTGGGTGTGTGGTTGACGCACCCAAGCTTTGGTGGTCGACATCTGAGAGACCCCATGAGTGGCAGTGACTCTAACTGTAGGACTTCAGGGCAATTCCATTTGTGTCTTTCCTCTAAAGGACAAAACAGGATGGGCTACAAAGGCACAATGGATGTGCATGGGCGAGCCAGAGAAGCCAGGCTGTCCCTGCCACCACAGAAGGAAGCCTGTGTCTCCCTCTTCAGTGCAGAGAGTGGCTCCGTCAAGGAAGACTGTGCAGGAAAAAGCCAAAAGCCCTTGAAACCCCGGTCCATCCAGAAGTCCTGGTTCGCGCAGTTCCCGTGGCTGGTCATGAATGCAGAGCACACGGCTCTCTTTTGCTCCGCTTGCCGGGAGTACCCATCCATTAGGGACAGGCGGTCCAGGCTGATCGAAGGTTACACAGGACCATTCAAGGTGGAGACGCTCAAATACCACGCCAAGAGCAAAGCTCACCTGCTCTGCGTCGACGCCTTGGCAGCACGGGACCCCATCTGGGCAGCCCATTTCCGGGGCATCCGGGGTGCCAGCCGGGAGCACCTCTTCCCTGCAGAGTATCCCGTCCTGCACCCCCCAGGTGCTCTGGGAGCCTGCGGTGACGTGGCCCAGCTTCTGCCCAGCCCGCGAGCTGAACCGGAGGGCCCTGGGGGGAGTGGAGTGCTTCCTGCCTTGTATCCGGACTGCATTTCCCGTCTGAGCCCTAAAGAAACCGCAGGAGACGTCCACAGCTCCTCAGACGCTAACACTGTGTGTGATGACCCCGCTGAGCCCTGCAGCCAGGTAATATATTCAGGATGGTCGCTGTATGTCCAGGGGAAGATCCACACCTAGAACAACACTGTTTCATGATGAGGACGGAAAAATTACATTAGCTTACCTGCTGCTGATGTTACCATGAGCTAACTTGCTGGTCACGTCTCGGGCCTTGTTTTAAGGGCTTCACATGTATTGTTTCACTTACTTAAGACAACAGTCCCATTATCATCTCCTGTTTGCAGGTAACAAAACATCATTAGTGGGACAGGGCCTTCTAACTCCTGAGAGAAGGGAGGCGCCTACATCCAGAACAGTGATTTTTATCCAGAATCCAGAACAACTACAGAGCTCAGTCAGTGACCCACAGCCGCAAAACAACTGCCGAGAGCTTAAATAATCAAGCTAAAATCTTTTCAACTTGAACTTTGGAATCATGGAGCACTTTTAAACATTGCCAAGTTTCTCCACACATGTTCTTTCATGTAGTGATTAGGGTTTTTTTGGGTTTTTTGTTAATCTTCACCCGAGGATATTTTTCCATTGATTTTTTAGAGAGAAAGGGAGGGAGGGAGAGAGAGAGACAGAAAGAGAGAAACATCAATGTGAGAGAGACATCGATGGGTTGTCTCCTGCATGTGCTCCAACCAGGGCAGGAATCAAACCTGCAACCCAGGTACTTGTCCTTGACCAGGAATTGAACCCACAACCCTTCGGGTCACAGGCCAACGCTCTAACCACTGAGCAACACCTGCCTGGGTGTTGCATGTAGTGATTTAACGCTGCTCTGAGGGTGGCAGAGCAGCCCGATTGAACTCACCGTGTTGGGAGTGACATGTCCAGAGTTCAAGGGCTCTCATGGCGTTGACCTCCCCCCAGGCCTTGATCACCAGCCCAGAGCTTTCCTTCCACTCCTGGCAGCTCTTGTGGGTCCTAGAAAACTCTAATTCTCATCTTAGGTTTCTTTTGTAATTTTCTAATTCTTTGGAAAGTTGGCCTGTGAGGAAACGGCGTTAACTGGAATCTTGGAGTAACTAGAACCTTCCCCATTTCTCACTATTCCATGTAAGTAGGATTTTGCTGCACATCTTTTTGAGTACCCCCTCTAGTATCCCAGGGAGAACAGCTCAGATATTTCTCATACCTAAAATTGGAAGAACCCAGCTAAAATTAGTAAGCTCAAGTTTTTCCAGAATCCAGAAAAGTGACAAGGCTTATTTTTCTTTGTGTTCATGTTCCTTCTGGTTTGTAGTATTAGAAGCTAATAACGGGCCCAGCCTTTTATAATCTGGATTCCTGTAGCGGTAAGGCATGTGTAAATCGGGTTGCTGAATGTAGCACCTCTAGTTTTTTCCTACTTCCTTCCCATCCCGGTGGGAAATCTCAGCAGGTGCTCCTAGAGGCAGAGGTCTCTTTTATGGTCACAGGTGAGTAGATGGCACCTCTCAGGACTGGTGGACACAGTGCAGCCGTGAGGCTCTGCCAAGACTCCTCGTTCACATTTCCTCCCAGGAAACCCTAGGATCCCACTGAGGCTCATTTGATTTTTACCCACTAATTCCGGGGCTCGCGAGTTTGCTTCTTTGACTCGATGGATAAATTAGCTCCTTGGAGGACATCTGGCCTCTTGGAGAGCTTCCCAGGAGACGCAGGGCTTGAGAGGCGCCCGAGAGTGTGACGCTGTTGCCCGATGGAGGAGGCGCACCGAGTGACGGCTGCTCTCTGTTGCAGGGTCCTTCTGAAGAGGGCCCGCTGGAGGAGCCCCCGGTGGACTTTGAGGAGGTGGCGGTGTATTTCACCCGGGAGGAGTGGGGCGTGCTAGACAAGCGGCAGAAGGAGCTGTACAGAGACGTGATGCGGATGAATTACGAGCTGTTGGCCTCCCTGGGTAAAGACTCATGTAGACCTTTGTTCACCGCTGTCATTTGTCTTGACCCACAAAGGTAGCTGCGGCCGTGGTCACCTTCCCCTGTCCGCCCTCTCCCCATACACAGGCAGAGAGCGAGTCTGTCTTCTGCACCTCGGAACTTGCCCTACTTCGGGTGACTGTACTTTATCCCCTCTTCCCCCATCTGTCACCATCCTCCACCTGACATTTATTGAATACCTACTGTGTGCCGGGTAAACCTGAACTCATTCCGCTTCCCAATGTCTGAACAAGGTTCCTACTTTCAAGGGGCCAGCAGGTTTGTGCGAGACAGATACTTTAATAAGAAGCTATAAAATAACACAGGCTCCACAAAAGAGGTTCAGGAAACGCGCCCCAGGGCTGCTGAAGGAGAGTGACTTAATTTTGCTGGGTGTCAGAGGGAGAGATCCTCAAAGTCTTCACCGAGTATGACCTGTTTTAACTGAGTTGAAAACCAGCTGGACAGCGAGGAAGAAGGGCATCTAGACATGACACAGGCAGGGAACAGAGTGAGCGAAGGCGTGGAGGCGAGAAAGGGCCTCCAAGTGGATTGTGCCCTCCACTCTGCCTGTGCCCAGGAAGCCTCATCTCTCCAGGGGCCAGCCAGGGTAGCTGGTCTTGGGCAGGTGTCACGAGACTGGGCCCTGGAGAATGCGGAGGGTCTCAGTGTTTCTTACCTTCCAGAAGAGTGTTATCTCCACCAGATCCTTGTTCTCTTTGCCTCCCTTTTCTGTCAAACTCCCGAGGGTCTCATGCATCAAAATAGAAAGACAACTTCTCATGATATAAGGATTTACTTATTTCTTTTTTTATTAGCACATATAATAACAGAACAGGCTGCTGTGCGTAACTTAGGAATTCCAGCAGCGACCTGTGTCATGCCTTCTACAGAATAAGAGGTCAGGCAATTTGTGACTTAACCAGTGTCATATCCCCTGGTGTACACTATCCTTTCGTGTGCAGCTAAGATACTGATCCTTTCTAAGCATTCTTGACCCATATACTTGTTTTTATCATTGTTTGAAATTTTTTTAATATGTCTTCATTGATTTCAGAGAGAGGAAGGGAGAGGGGGAGAGAGAGAGACAGAAACATCAATGATGAGAGTCACTGATCGGCTGCCTCCTGCACGCCCCTGACTGGGGATCGAGCCCACAACCCGGGCCTGTGCCCTGATTGGGAATCGAACCGCGATCTCCTGGATCCTAGGTCGATGCGCAACCGCTGAGCTACGGCTGGCCGGGCTGTTCGGAATTTTTAAATGGCTCCCCAAACATTCAGAAATAATTGTTTGTAACGTAAATAACGGGATGTAAGTAATGGCTTATTTCGTCATGATAGAGGCTTTGTAGTCATGTCCGAGGCCCAAGGCACCTGTGCAGAGCGTACCTTCGGAGAGCATCACTACCACCTACAGCGGGAATGAGGGGGAGAGTCATTTTTTAGAAATACCCACATACAAGAAGTTGGTTTTCCCTTCAAAGGAATGAGCAGTAGTGATGCACGTTGCCCATTGGACCCCTGTGGGAAGTTCTGGCGAGAGTAGTGGGTAACCAGTACACAGCACGGGACTGACGCAGATTGTTCAGCTTGTACTTCAGCTCAAGCTCTGTGGTCTACGCATTTTATTATTTTTGAGGGGACCTTCACCCAAAACAGGCAGACAGAACCACACTTTAATATCCTGTTGCATATGTTTATTGCTATTCCTGATTTATTGATTTTAGATCTTATCTATCGATTCCCACTGTGGAAGATGAAGATATGGCCCTCTTACCACACCCCAGCCCCCACTTCTCTTCCCTCCATCCTCTCAGAACAGGTACATCACACTTTTTGGTTAATTCAGTGTAAACTGTTTTTATGATTATATACGATTTACTTCTGATCAAGGTGGCATATTATGATGTTTCCTTTGTCGTAGGATTTTCCCCTGGAATTGATTTTTTTCTTATTTTTTCTTTGCTAGTGTTCTGTCCTATCACCAGTTCTTCTGAACCTCTCCAGTGAAATCCCACAGTTCCTCTGAAGAGTCTGTTCCACATGATCAAACTCCGGTGACCTATTGGCTTCACTCTTGGTCCGGAGACTTCTGTCACAGGTCTTCCATTTGCCTCTATTCCATCTAAACTAGTGATCCTTGAGGCCTGCTGCACAGCTGTGGCCTCACACTGTCCTTTGTGTTTCCCCTGTTTCCTGGATCTCTCTCTTCTTTCTGGTCTAGGTCTTTGTTTTGTTGAAGCACATCTTCCAGTAACTTTCTAAGAAAGAGTGCATGGGAAGAAATGTTTTTAAGACTCTGCATATCTGAAAATGCCCTCACAGTTGATAATTTGGGTGGATATAGAATTCCAGATTGAAAATAATTTTTCTCAGCATTTTGAAAGCATTGCTCTTAGGTCTTGCAGATGCTATTGAGAAGTATAAATGCCTTTTTATTCCTACATCTTTGAGCATAGCCTGTTTTTTCACTCTGAAAGGTTTTAAAATCTGTTCCAGGGTTCTGAAGTATGGAAGCTCACCTTTTCCAGTTTTGGGAAAATATTTTTGTATTATTTCTTCCTACCTATTTTCTCTCTCCTTTCTTCCAAAAAGTCCTAATTGTTAGATACTAGACTTCCTAAGTTAAGCCTCTAGTTTTGTTTTATTTTTATATTTTTCTCCTGTTTTCTGCTTCTATCTTTTTTTTGTTCTACCATCTTAGAGATTGCCTCAGTTTTATTGTCTAATAATTCTATTTGATTTTTTAAAAATTTCTTCTATCACATTTTAAATCTAAGAGCCTTTACTGCTCTTTCATGGGTGACTATCATGAATTTTCTCCCTGGGATTATTAATTCTACTTTGTTATTTTGAAGTTCTGCTTTGCTCCTTATATTACCTTCCATCCCTTTTCCCACTTGTTTTATGTTAGAGGCTTGCCTCAAATAAATATCATTAGATTGATACATATTTAAGAGTATAACCTTAAACAAACTGGGTGAAAAGCTCTGTGGGGCTCATTAAGGGATAGATTTCACTGTAGGGTGACCAGCTGTGAACCTGGATGTCTCCCTGAAGAGCCCCCAAAAGTCATTCTGCATAGGTTTGTGGGGAGGAGGGGGTGGGGAGGGGCAATTCAGTTTCTCCAAAGAAAACTCTTCCAGTCCTGTTCTGGGAGGGTATAAGCTGAGTCAGTGGTCTTGGAGCCGAGTAACACACCTTCTGGAACCTAGACTGTCTTCATCTCTCGTCTGTATTGCATCCCCTCTTCATCTCTCTTGCACTCTCCCCATTGTCCCAGAGTCCGGGCCTTTCTGGTTAAGTTTTCTGTAGACTCGATCTCTGTTCTGCTCTTCGGGTGAGGGTGGTGGTGTGTTCTGGTTTCCTGGAACAGGTGAGAGGCCCTAGGGAGATGCTGGTCTGTACAGACTTTGAGCTGGCCCGGTATTCTCCCCTTCCTTTCCTACCCTCTTATATTGTACCTGGAGCCTCTGGAGCCTGAATCTACCAGGGATTCTGTGGCCAAGTTCAGGCCCTTCTTCACCCCCTCTGCCTGCATTTGGTGTTCAGCTCTATTAGTTCTTCTTGCTCTTTTTATCTTTCCTTCTTCGAAAAATGTATTCACATTTCTAGTCCAGTGTTTCTCTTGTTTTAAGGATATGTGTTGCCCTGCTGGTGTAGCTCAGCAGTTGAGTGTCAACCTATGTGCCAGGAGGTCACGGTTCGATTCCCAGTCAGGGCACATGCCCAGGTTGCGGGCTCAATCACCGGTAAGGGGGTGTGCAGAAGGCAGCCAATCAATGACTCGCTCATCATTGATGTTTCTCTCCCTTTCCCTTCCTCTCTCTGAAATCAACAACAACAAAAAAGGGTATCTGTTCAATTCACTATCCTTTAATACTTTATATTTTTATTAGTAATAAGAATGTGGATACATACACGCACATATAGTAAATATACACGTATTCAAGTTATCCAAAAGGTGAACAGTGAAAGCATTCTCCCTTCGACTCCGCCCTTTGGTCCCTCCCCAGTAGCCCCCACAGTCACCATCTCCCTGTATGTCCTTCCAAAGAAAGCTTATACACACATTCACACAGACACATACAGACCCACGGAAGTGGATGCTAGTAGATTTTGTTTTAAATTAAGAAATGATTTCTTTGCCCTTCCCTGAGGAATATTCGTATTTTAAATAAAAGCCAGTGCTTAACCCAAAGACATGAACCTCTTCTAGTCAGATTTCAAGTTTCATGGCAGGGGGTGGACATTTTTAAGGGGCCTTTCCTATGCCCCGTAAAATAACCCGTGCAGTCAGCTACCTGCACCAAGGCCGGCTGTGGGTGTTGCTGAGGGGCACGTGCATGGGACCGTAGTTGGTGGCACTCGTCCACTTCTCGTCTGGCTTTCTTTTTCACGCTGTCTTCTCTCCTACTTTATCCCCATGGTTCTTTCTGTTTTCACGCCATCCTCTCTAGACGCATTTGGCTGACGCGTGGCTGGCATGGCTGGACTGTGGATCTAGGGAAGTTATTTATCCTGGCTAATGGACACGCCCTAATCTGGCCGCTTCTTGGGTTTTAAGAGTAAATTGGCACCCTAGATGAGTATGTGTCCATCGTGCCCGTGGCTGAATGGACTATGAAGAGACAGACCCAAAGGCATCCCTCACTATTTCAGGAACCACGAGTAGCTTTAGGCGGGCAACTTGGCTTGGTGGTCCACAGCAGTGACATCAGTATGACCCTTTGTCCTTGCAATAGGGCCTGCGGCTGCCAAACCAGACTTGATCTCAAAACTGGAGCGTAGAGCTGTGCCCTGGCTCAAGGACCCAAAGGGGACGGAGTGGGGGAAAGGTCTTTCTCCAGGTGAGTCTTGACCCACTGAGCTCTCGAAGGCACATCCAGGGGCCCAGGTATCTATGGCAAGTCACACAATCTTAGTTCAGCCATACTTAGCTTGAACCTGTTGTACACCAGGCCCTGTATTAGGCTCTGGGTAGACAGAGATGAGTAAGATATTAAACCTCAGCGTGTAGAAGAGCCTGGGAAACCAGATGGTATGGAAACAATAAGGAGCTCTGATGAGCAGAAGTGCTAAAGGGACCTGTGGTCAAGCTGATGGGAGGAGAGGTGTGGGAGACGCTGGTTTTGAGGAACAACATGCCCGAAGGCCTGTGAGCCTCGCCTCCCTTCTTCCTCTGGGTTTTAGCACTGCTGTTCTCTGAGAGTTTGTTTTTTGCATATCTCAGGCAGTAACTTGTTGGCTAGTAGCTACTGTTCATACTTCTGTGCCTCCCTTCTTTCAGAGGCTCATAAGGACTTACGGATGTTTAACCTCATTTCTTGGTGATGCCCCAGAGGGGATTAAAGCCACCTGTTTATCCAGTAGCATCTGTGGCCAAGGTGGTTCACTAAGCTTGTTAGCAGCTGATGTCACATGATCCCGGGTCCCTGTGTGGATAGAGAGGGGGACGCTGGCTACAGTACCCACAGGGATTAGCAGATGACTCTTAAGGAGCCAGACTGACTTCCATAGATAGTAATGGGGAGGCCAGTACTGCTGTCTAGAAGGCGGCTCTCACGTGTCCTCTCCGCTTCGCATCAGGGTGCTTACTGCATTGGGTGTCTTAGCTGGTGGGAGACTGCAGAGTTTTGGGCGGCAAAACCAAGCACAGTTTGATTTGCTCCCAAGGGAAGAAGATGGTGGCTGCAGGAGAGGCAGCCACGCAGGCCCCGGCTGTCGAGTCCGCGTTGCTTCCGGCTCCTGTGGAGACCTGTGTCTCCTACTGCGGGTGCGGCCTCTGTGACGTGGACGCACATGGGCCCAGGAAGATCAAGAGGACTTACAGACCTCGCTCAATTCAGAGGTCGTGGTTCGGGCAGTTCCCATGGTTAGTCGTCGACTCAGACGAGACCAAGCTCTTCTGCTCAGCTTGCAGAGAACGACCGAGTCTCCACGACAAGTCGTCACGCTTAGTCCGAGGTTACACGGGGCCTTTCAAAGTGGAGACTTTAAAATACCACGAAGTCAGCAAAGCACACAAGCTCTGCGTCAACACTGTTGACGTCAAGGAGGACACCCCTCAGGCTGCCCTGGTCCCAGAGATCTCCAGTGACCTGATGGCCAACATGGAGCACTTCTTTAACGCCGCCTACTCCATCGCCTACCACTCGAGGCCGCTGAACGACTTTGAGAAGATCCTGCAGCTCCTCCAAAGCACGGGGACCGCGATTTTGGCTAAGTACCGGAACCGCACCGCGTGCACCCAGTTCATCAAGTACATCTCAGAGACCCTGAAGAAGGGGATCCTCGAGGATGTCCGGAACTCCCCCTGCGTGAGCCTGCTGTTGGACGGCTCCACCAGTGCCTCCGACCAGGCCTGCGTGGGCATTTACATCCGCTACTTTAAGGGGATGGAGGTGAAGGAGTCTTATATCACGTTGGCCCCGCTCTGCAGTGAGACGGTGGATGGGTACTTCGAGACCGTCGTCTCTGCCCTGGATGAGCTGGACATCCCCTTCCGGAAGCCTGGTTGGGTGGTGGGCCTGGGAACTGACGGCTCGACCCTGCTGAGCCGCAGAGGAGGCCTCGTGGAGAAATTCCAGGAGATCGTCCCCCAGCTGCTGCTTGTCCACTGCGTGGCCCACCGGCTGCACCTGGCTGTCGTGGACGCCTGTGGGGGCATTGACCTGGTGAAGAAGTGTGACCGGCACATCCGAACCGTCTTCAAGTTTTATCAGTCCTCACACAAACGGCTGACCGAGCTGCGGGAAGGTGCCGCGGCACTGGAGCAGGAAATCGGCCGCCTCAGGGACTGGAGCGCGGTCAGGTGGGTGGCCAGCAGGCGGCGCACACTGCACGCGCTCGTTGTGAGCTGGCCCGCCCTGGCTGGGCACCTCCGGAGTGTGGCGGCGGCTGGGGGCCAGACTGGGCACCGGGCCCAAGGCGTGCTGAAGCTCATGGAGAACTTCCATTTCCTCAAGTCCTGCCACTTCCTGCTGGACTTCCTGAGCGTCTACAGGCCGTTGTCGGAGCTGTGCCAGAAAGAGATGGTGCTGATCACGGAGGTGAACTCCGCGCTAGCACGCGCCTATACAGCCCTGGAGACCCTCCGTCACCAGGCGGGGCCCAAAGAGGAAGAGTTCAATGCTGGCTTCAAGGATGGGCGGCTGCATGGCATCTCTTTGGACAGAATGGAGGTGGCAGAGCAGCGTTTCCGGGCAGACAGGGAGAGAGTGATCCTGGTGGGGACTGAGTACCTCCGGCAGAGGTTTGACACCGACCGTCCCCCGCAGCTCCAGCACATGGAGGTGTTTGACACCATGACCTGGCCAAGTGGCACCGAACTGGCTGGTTTTGGAAATGACAATATCCTTGCCCTTGCCAGGTACTTTGAGCTCTCGCTGCCCCCAGGGTACAGCGAGCAAGCCCTCCTGGAGGAGTGGCTGGGCCTGAAAGCCATGGCCAAGAACCTGCCACTATCCATGCTGTGTAAGAGCGCCCTGGCCCAGCACTGCCGCCTCCCCCTGCTCAGCAGGCTGGTGGCGGTGGCAGTCTGTGTGCCCGTTGCCACCTCCTGCTGTGAGCGTGGTTTCAGTGCCATGAACCGGATCCGGACTGAGGAGAGGACCAAGCTGTCCAACGAGGTGATCGACATGCTCATGATGACAGCAGTGAATGGCGTGGCGGTCCCCGAGTACGACCCCCAGCCTGCCATCCAGCACTGGTACCTTACCTCCTCGGGCCGGCGCTACAGCCATGTCTACACCTGTGCCCCGGGGTCTCCCCTCTCCCACGAAAGTAAGTCCACCGGCGGAGTTCCTGGATATGGGAACACGGAGGAAGGGAGTCTCATCTTCTCAGTCCCACATGAGAGATCTGGGAGCGCCTGATACAGTCATCATCACAGTGGGCTTGGCCCGAGGTACCACTGAGCTTCTATAATGTGCCTGGCCATTTGCTAACCTAGGGCTGCTGGGGACATGACACCTGCCCTCCAAACGCTCCCGACCCAGCTAGAGGCCAGACGTATTCACAGGGCTCAGGGCACAGTGCTGAGAGCATGAACTTCTGCCCAGGCACTAATGCATGACTTGGGCAAGTTAAATCTTCCGTGCTTTGGTTTTCATCTGTGAAGTGAATTTATACACGTGAAGTGCTTAGAACAGTGGCTGGCAGGTAGTTCCGACTATGGGAATACCTAGATGACTGGCCCAGCTGGTGCAGCGACATCACATTCCGAGCGGGGCTGTGCACTTGGAGGGATGGAGAGGGAGGAGGTCAGTGCAGGTCAGAGGGTGCTGGCGGAGAAGGTTGGCGTGGTCCAGGATGGGGGCAGTCCTGAGGGCACTGCCTGCTGGCCTGGGGGCCAAGCCAGGGACCAGGCTCCAGGGGGATGTTGCATGATATGGGAGGCAACTTACAGAAAAAGTCTGAAGCAAGAAGTTGCCCTCTTTGCAGGTGGTCACTGAGAACCAAAGCAAACGTGATGGTCACGGCGGTCCCCAGGCTCACCGTGGTTACTTAACAGAGACAGAGCTGTGATTTGTCCCTCTTGACGTCCACTTCCAGCTGATCTCCTTCCTATTGCTCCCACTCTCATTTTTTAATGTTTTGCTGTTGCTGCTGTTAATCCTTACCCAAGGATATTTTTTTCATTGATGTTTTAAAGAGAATGGAAGGGAGGAAGGGGGAGAGAAAGAGAGAGAGAAATATTGATGCCAGAGAGACACGTCGATTGGTGGCCTGCCACTTGTGCACAACCAGGGCCGGGGATGGAACCTGCAACCCAGGTAAGTGCCCTTGACCAGAAATTGAACCCATGACCCTTCAGTGCACAGGCCAACACTCTAACCACTGAGCCAAACTGGCTAGGGCCACTGTCATTCTTTACCTCTGAGCCTGTGCCCATAAGCAGTGGACCAGGTCTCAGGGTTGACCTGTGGCTGGGTGCAGGGCATTCCTTCACCCCAGCATTTGTTGTCCATGTCCAGCCCTGTGGGGGAGGAGACAAATATGCTACCCCTGTGCCCTTTTGGGGGCAAGGGAACTTCTACATCTGAAGCAAACAGCAAACGCTACTGAACGTTGTGTGACAAAGTCCTCCTTCCCAGGCAGCTCTGTCAGCCTCAGCACTGTTCACATTTGGGGCCAAATCTTCTCTGGGGGGCCCGTCCTGTGAGTGGTGGGATCTTTAGCAGCATCCCTGGCCTTTACCCATGACATCCCCACTGGGTACCAGTAACACCCTCCAGGTTGTAGGAACCAATCACCTTCAGACACTGAGGGGCAAATGGCCCCCAGGAGAGATTCCCGTGTCCCAGGGTGAGCATAGATCAGCCTGCAGCCCTAGTCTGTCTCCAGTCTGTGCTCCACGGTTTTCCCCCAAATATGCCTCGGGGCACAGCTGGCAGTGGGAAGGGGATCCTCATGTAATGAGTTTTCCCCGAGTCTGATGGTGCCTTCTCTTTCCTCCTGCTCAAGGGACAGAGCTCAGGAAGGAGAAGATGGGAGCGCTCTGTATGGAGGAGGCCGTGACCCAGAGGCCACCCATTCTGTCGTGTGGGGACGGGTGGAGATCCTGAAGGACTGTCTCATGGACTCTCCCGACAGATGCCTGTACGGCAACACCAGCTGGGAGGCCCTCCGGGCTGTCCTGGCGCAGGCTCTGCAGGAAGAGGAATATGAGGGTTGCCTTGGAGACCCTGCCCTGCCCCTTGTGGTCCTGACAGGCTCTGTGCCATAGAGTCTTCCCTTGGTTGGGACTCAGCACAGGAAGTGGGCAGTGACAAGATGGTTATGCCCACATCCCAGAGAGTCAGGGCCATCAGGAGGCACATGACCTGCTCACCTCTGAGCAGACGGGGACTCCGCACTGAAATAGGCAGTGAGTTCACATTTAAGGTGCTTCAGGAAACGATCCCATCATGAAAGATTTCACCCCATGTCCTGGTGGCAAGAGGACTTTCCTGGGTGGGAGAGACTGTTGGGGGTAGGAACTTAAAGGAGCACCCAGCCCCCTGGAAAGTTGGGGAATGTTCCAGGGGGGCTGCCCATAGCCTCAGTGGCCTGGGGAAGGCACTGGGAGAGGGGCAGAGGATGACCAGGCTCCAGGGACAGCTGGCCCAGCTCTGGGATGTCACCCTGACTCCATGGCAGAAGTAGGGACACCCCAACTTCAAATGGGAAACTCACATCAGAGAATCTCTACCTAGGAGGTTCCCAGGACCTTCCTTTAGGGTGAGACAAGCAAAGCCCTTTGCACAGAGCGCTGGGGAAAGCTGCTCCTGCAGCTCTGGGCCAGTGGAGGGAAGTATCTGCCTGGAGCCGACCCCCACCGATGGGCCAGTTCCCTCCCTCACCCGAGCATCTGTCAGCCAAGGGGTGGGGGGGAGGCAGGGATGTCCTCTTGGATTGTGGCTTCAAAGATGTGCAAACGAGGTTAATAAAACCACGATTGATTCTCAGCGTTTTGCTCTCTGAATAAAGCAGAGTTTATTTCCACACATGCCTCTGCCCTGTAAATTCTTTCAGCCGTAACTGGGAGACGAGAAGCTGCCCGAAGCTAACTAGACCCCGCTCCTCCGACAGCCC